GAACAAGCATGCCAAATTCTAGAATTTTATAAAAAGGAGAAAGAAATGAAAGAATTGAGTAAGTATTTGTAACTGTGGCCAAAATAAAGCTTCAGTCTAACTCACTGAGCAATGAAAATTGTAACCAGTAGGAAAGGGATTGGGAAGATTTTGTTCATCTCCCTAGAAAAGTGAAGTGTGTGTGTGTGTGTGTGTGTGTGTGTGTGTGTGTGTGTCTGTGTGAGTGTGTGTGTGTTGCATTACACAGGGCAGGCAGAGGACAAGTAGACAGAGTAGAAGGAGCCAAGAGTTTCCAGTGGTAATTCCATTGATTCATGTTAGGAGCAAAAACATGGCTTGGAATGAGACCTGTTCCCCCTGACTCATGGCACCTTAGGAGCAAGCAGATTGATACCAACTGTATTAATCAGCTTTCTGCCACTGTGACAAAATACCTGAGAAAATAAACCTAAAGGAGGACAGATTTATTTTGGCTTGTGTGGTTTCAGAGGTTTCAGTGCCTGGTCAATTGGCTCCATTGTTTCTGAGGCTGGGGTAAGACAGAGCATCATGGTGGGGACCATGGGGCAGAGCAGAACTGCTCACCTTGTGGCAGTTAGGAAGTAGAGAGAGAGAGGGCGGGGAAAAGAGGAAGGGGCTGGGGACAAAATATCCCCTCCAAAGGCAAGCCCCGAGTGACCTGCTTTCTCCAACTGGGCTCCACCTCCTAGTTTTATAGCATAATGGGAGGGTCAGAACCTTTGTGATCCAATCACTTCCCAAAGCCCCTACCCTAACATTGCTACACTGGGGACCAAGCCTTCAACACACAAGCTCCTGGGGGGACACTTAAGGTCCAACCCATAATACCACCAGTCCCTGTCCTTCTGCACTACTGACTTTAGAATCCTCTTTCCAAAGTGGAACACTGATAGGACACTAATGGCCCTACTGATAAGGCCGAACCAGGCAGGGAATGAGAGAAAGAAAGTGAGATAGTTGTGATGAAAAATATTTCCAATGAAAATAGTTCCTAAAGCATAACTGACCAAAGATGCTGATAAGCATGTGAATAGGATTAATAGTCATTTGTTATGCACTTCACACTGAAAGTTTGTCATGAGAATTCATTTCCTGGAAAGGCCTATGATACGATCACCTGAAAAAGTTCACAGTGGGATTAATAAACATAATTCAAAAGCATTTTTAAAGTAAATTAGCAGGGGCCCAAATGCTTATTACTTTACCTGAGGTTATTTGAAAGAGACATACTCTCTCATGGGAGAACTGGTCAAGGACATATGAGGAAACCATTCCCTCTCTTTGGGGACAAAGTAAGAGTGACCCGCCTTTGTCTCCATCCCAGATAGCAGGGAGGTCTCTCCCAAGCTGAGAGTAGAAATTTTTCCTGTCTTTATGCTAGTAGCTTGTCTCTGCCACTCCACTGACGGCACACCCCATGCCAAGGGTGTGCTCCCAATGAACATATCATCGTGCCTGTTTTCAGTCCTGCTTGTTGGGGATGCCATATCAGGATGCAGCACAGTGGTCCCAATCAATGAATCATCCGCTTGGGTGGTGTATCATTAAAAGATGGCACTCCTTGTCACGGACATTTTAATCTCATATTGATTTGGCCATGTATGTTCTGTTAGTGCCTCAGGAGGGTTCCCTGGAAGTGTGTTCCAGGATGGTTTTTTTTTTTTTTTTTTTTTAGGCAGTGTTGCCAGAAAAACTGATAAGCCAATGAGAATATAGGGATAGGGAGGGAGGCAGGCCAGGTAGGATGCCTTACAAGCACAGTCCCATGAATGAGGACCGACTCAGGGATGCAGGGGAACTGAGGCATGGAAGGACACAGCTCCTAGCTATCCCAATTAGGGATGAGAGTGCTGGAGCAATTGTTCCCGTGTACCTGATCCTGGTTAAGGGCTGCCTCTGTGACAGACATTTCCATGTATTATTGATGACAGCATTCAAAGAGAGTTCCAGCAACCTGAGGACCATGCCCATCAAATAGACCGATGCCTAGTGTTGGGAGAGAAAGTACAATCAGATGCCAGTGCAGAGAGGTAATCAAAGGATCTGGGAGACCCGATGGAGCCCTGGGCACAGTCTGCTATAGGCTGACATTGAACTGAACTCAACTTTACTGCAGTGTTTAATTCTTCCATCAAACCAGACCCATCATAGTCTTTTAAAGTGAAACCTACTATGATGTTCATGACACAAATGTGAAAGCTAAGCCAAGATGAAAACCTTGGTCTGAGGTTCAACAAGTAGAAAATCAGGGAGCTGGCGTTTGAATCCAAGTCTAGAAACCACTGGCCCAAACTCTTAATTATTTTTACTTATTATACTATGTAGGAATAAATTTAGGATAATTCTAGGCTTTAAGTTATTTGCCCCTTGAATTTTGAACAACTCACCAGATTAATTCCCATATTCTCATGAAAATTCTCTCCAAATGCCAGTGGAGTGGGGGACATTTCTTCCTATCCTGGAAGATAGGCCGTTACATATCTGGGTTATGTAACAACTTTTTGCACATCCCGAAGGTGACTAAATAGTCTGTAGCCACGTTGCATGGCTCTAGAGAGAAAACCGGTGTATGCACAAAATGAATTCATGACATTTTAGTCTTTATAGTGTGACAACAAATTAAATTTGCATTATAGAGGTATCATCATATAAAAAGCAAAATGAATATGAAATTACATGCTCAATCTTAAGAGGGATAGAATCTTTAAATTTGGGAGGCATCTTCCTTTATTTATTGCTTATGAGATATCTATATATTTTTTTTTAAGATTGTGGCTGGTAGCTATCAATCTATACTCTATAATTCATTTAATTCTTGTTTTCTGACATAGAAACATAATTACTGAGAGCAGTCAATTTGTTCCCATTTGATAAGCAGCTAAAATAAGAATAGCGGATTGCACCACCTGAGTTTTAAAGACATGAAAGATGTTTACTATGGTGCGACCAAAAGCTCCTCTGGCTTCTAAAAGAAGAATCACTTCCGTTCCTGCTTCTCATGCCAGCGACTGAGCTTTGTCTATTTGCTGGGCTGGATTTGGTTTTCAAACAGGCTGCTGGAAACATCTGACAGAATCCTGGTAAGGAAACTAGAAATGTTCTGGCATTCAGGTCCTGCCACATGAGGTCACCCACAGGAGACTCCCTTGCACAATTCCTTCTCCACCGGAGCACCGTGGGCAGAGTCCTCCATCAGGGCTGTGGTAATGTGATATTATAGTTGGTATTTCCATTTTTCAAGTCTACTTGTATCTGTGTCCTTTGCTATTGCACTCTGAGGCAGACACATCCTAAGGTGATCTTAATGACCCAGGCCCTTGCGTAACATCTTAGGCCTAGTGTTGGGAGAGACTTGCTTATAACCATTAGAATATGGCAAGGATGACGGATGACGGCTGTCACTCACTGGATTCCATTGTAAGACTGTATCTTAGCAGACTGGAGAGAAAGAGACTGCTCTATAGGCCTTGAAGCAGTGAGCTGCCTCCGTATGAATTTCCTAAGGACAGGGCCAGACAGCAGAGGAAGAGGATCTCCGTCCTACAAACTGATACTGGCCTTAGATCAGGTTCTTGCTCTCATTTCCCCAGTGTTGAAGATTAAACACCAGAGCAAGTTTTATTTAAGAAAAAGAAGTGGGACCCAGAGCTGTGTGCCCAAGGGAGGGGATGTGTCTTGCTCTTTTATAGACTTCCTGAATCCCTCACCTTCTCTTTCTTCTCCCTGTACGTGCCTAAGGCCAGGAAGGAGCCCCACAGGGGGCAATTGATCCGGAGGCAGAAGCCTTAGCAACCTGTTGAGCTGGAGTTGAGCTGAGAAGTGCAATCCCAGAGGCTGGCTGTTAGCAACCTGGCCCTCATCATTCATTATCTACACTGAGCAGCAGGCCTTCAACCTCCTGACATTTCCTGTCCCC